AAGGATAGCCGAAGTCCAGCAGGTCGAGGCTGCGGTGGCCGGGAGCGGCCACTGCACTCCAGTCTGGGTGACAGAGTGAGATTCCAACTCAAAAAAAAATTATTGCTTTTTTTGGGGGGGAAGTTAACGAACATAGGGTCAGTTTCCTAATCACTTTGTAACATAGTCATCGCTGTTCATTCTCTTTCATCATGTGGGCCGGATTTTCTCTGAGTCTTCTTAAGATAGAAAATCAAAAGCCAAAATAGCATAAAATACTTTAACGAATATTTGGTCAATAGCATGCAAACTTCAGTAATAATTTCTGGATCCTCCTCACGAGCTTTTGATGGTTACAAGTGCAACATGACTTCCAGTGTCTTCTCTGCCACATAGTTAGCTTTTCTTCCTTCCTCATCTTCTGCCTATATACCAAATACAAAGACAAAATCCTGGCTGCACTTGAAAATCACCTGGAGAACATTAAAAAATAATACTGATTCCTCACCTCAACCAACTTAGATTGTGATGTAATTGCTGTGTGTCTGAGACCCAGATACCAGATTTTGTTTGTTTTGGTTTTTTTGGAGTTGGGAGTCTCACTGCATTCAGGCTGGAATGCCTTGGCACAATCATGGATCACTGTGGCTACCACCTCCTGGGTTCAAGTCATCCTCCTGCCTCTGCCTCCTGGGTAGCTGGTACTCCAGGCTCAGCTTATTTTTTTTGTTTGTGTTTTTTTTGTTTGTTTTTTAAATTTTTTGTAGAAATGAGGTCTCACTATGTTGCCTAGGCTGGTCTTGAACTCCTGGGCTCAAGCAGCCTTCTTGCCTCATCCTTTCAAAGTACTGGGATTACAGGTGTAAGCCACCATGCCCAGCCTAGATACTAGTATTCTTTCTAAGTACCAACCCCAAGTGAGAACTCCTGAATTAATGTTAGTTATTTTTCATATATCTTTTTTGCTTATATTTAATTTTGTGGAATTTTTCACAAGATGATGCCATTAATTTGGCAATTAAGGTTTAAAATTTATTTTTGTCTTCCAAAATAATTGGAAATGCTCTGACAGTAATTGCATCAAATCGTAAGGTCTGAGTTCAATAGGATATGATATAATCAAAGTTCCTCTTGAGGTTTCCTGCAGTGTTTCTGACTTATTTTGCACCTGCTTAATAGTTGTAAAGTCACTATGCTTCTTTTTTATGTAGCACCAAGTTCAAGTTCTCACTGTGTTTTTTGTTTTTTTTGTTTTTTGTTTTAGTTGGAGTCTCTCATTCAGGCTGGAGTAGAGTGGCACAGTCACGGCCACTGCAGCTTCAACCCCTGCTGGGTTCAGGCAATCCTTCCACATCAGCCTTCCAAGGAGCTGGAACTACAGGCACATGTCACCACACCCAGCTAATTTTTTAAAAAATTTATTGTAGCAATGAGGTCTTGCCAAGTTGCCCAGGCTGGTCTGGAACCCATTGGCTCAGGCAATCTTCTCACCTCGGCCTTCCAAAGTGCTGGGATTATAGGCGTGAGCCACTGCGCTGGACCTCACTGTGTAAATAGATAATCTCGATTGCTTCTACTTTATTCGCATAGTCTGTAGATTAAATTTTCAGACACTCAAGATCTCACTCCTAAGGTCTTGCAGGAGAAATACAAGTGCATAACCAAAATTGAGGGGCAGTGGTGAGACTATTATAGGCTTTATAGTGTAGCGCACTTGAGAGAAATGATGGTGTACTAAATTGTCAAGGCAGCAATTAATTTGAATACATTCCACCAGCCAAATAGTAAACTTTTAGACACTTTTTTCCACACTCCACATGCTCTTACTGGGCAAACTCATACACTTCTTGACGTCTTCTACCATCATTATGACAGCTGAGTATTTGTGTCTGGCTCAGATCCATTTGCTGAACTCCAGACCCCTTGTATAACTGCTTATGAAATATCTGCATGTAGATGTCCCATTGACCCTACAAATAACAGCATTTGCCTTTTAGGCAAAAATAAATAATCTTTTTTCCCCATATATGCCCATTTTCTAACATCCTCCATTTTATTGCTACCGAAACAGGATCCAGGGGCTCATCTTCATCATCCTAGACTGATTCCTTTCTGCATCGCTGAGATCTACTATGATATCTAATTAAAATTTCCATCCAAAAAAGGGTCTAATTCATCAGCTGCTAATTAAATATGACACAGAAATAGGTTGTGGGGGAGGATCTTTGTCTCACTGTCTTCATTGCTCCTTCCTTAATTCAGACATGTCTCATAGTTCCCAGGAGTGATTTTCATTTGTTTCTTAATTTTTATTAGCCATCATCTTTTTTTTTTTTTTTTTTGAGTTGGGGTCTCACT